TTACACCCGGTTCCATGCTTACCAAGTAATTACTTGACCATACAAATACACTAAACTGTGCAATTTCACCCAATTACACCCAAATCTAATTCCTAGATGGCTTTCCAAACAAACGGTTAGTTTAACAACAAATATTACTTATTTAAGCAGTTTTTAGACAAGCTCCGGTGAGATAAAGACAGCTGGCAAATCTAATTACTTTCTCTCTCTATCCCAATTTATGTGATTGTTCTAGTTAAATTTTAGTGAGCTTTAATTATAAAATTCATAATAAGATATTTAGCTAAGTATTACCAATATTTTTTACCCTTTATATTTTCCAGCCAGAGTTTATTCTCCAGAATTCTTTTAGGCGAATAGTGCGTGCTTGTATTGTTCCCGCCAGATATATATACATGCTCATACGCTTACATCACACAATTCAAATCGCATTTGAAATCTCTCGCATCAGAAATCTCAAGCTCTCTCGCATCAGAAATCTCAAGCTCTTTCAAGCTCTCGCATCAGAACTCTCAAGTGCTCATTCTGCAATGGAGCCTCAAGTCTATCTCCTCCGTGCTTGGCTTGCTTTCATGGCGTTTTGCGACCGTGGCTGGAACTATCAGCATCTCACTAGTTCCGCAAATTTCTCTCCACAAACCTATTCACACTTCACCAAGGTAATAACATTCGGTTTTCGGTTTGGTTTATGTTTATTTCGATTGTTTACAACATCTAATATTATCAAATTCAGATTTTCGGTTTAATTAGTTGCTTGTTAATTTTCGGTCTTTAGTTGATTGATTCTTCATTAGAAGCAGACATTTCAAACGTTGATTCGAACTATATAACTCGATCGATTTCATTGAGTCCGTGTGATTTTTGTTTATTTGTATCATTTTGGAACATGTAATCACATGCAGAGTATTGTTAATTTCTCTCCACAAACCTATTCACACTTCAGCAAGGTAATAACATTCGGTTTTCGGTTTCGTTTCTGTTTATTTCGATTGTTTTATAACATTTAATCTTATCAAATTCAGATTTTCTGTTGAATGAGTTGATTGATAATTTTCGGTTTTTAGTTGATTGAATCTTCATGCATAAGGATGAAGATTTAGTAGCAAACGCTCATTCGAACTATATAATTCGATTTCATTGAGTCCGTAATTTGTATCATTTTGGAACATCTAATAGTTAATTTACTGAGTTTAGAACCAAGACTTCAGCCAATTGAACTGAATTTCAAAAATTTGAGAATCACGATTTAGCGAGTTTGTTTGAATGTAAGCATGATCTATATTTGTTGATGTTCATACAATGAAATTTCATTTTTATTTATATTTTTTGTTTTACCTATGATGGAGTATCTGATTTATGAGGCTACTGATCTTCTTAACAACGTAAGTTAACCATAACATAGCTGATTATTGACGAATTATAGCCCTGTAGACATTGGCATTGCTATCTAATTCGGTCAGTTTTGGGAGGAAAACATAGCTCTGTTGGTAACTTTTGATTCATAAACATATGAATATGCCTAAGTTTTAAATTGCAGTTATTGACTTTTGGATAGGAGAAGCAGATGAGTTTTATGTATCTCATAAAAGGAAGTCAGTCTTCTGCTCTTCGGATGAAAAACCACTGATTTTTGAGAATTTCTTTCTTTGCTTTTCATATTGCTATATGAGACAATTTACAATCTTTATCCTAAGTGTTCATAAGTTACCAACTCCTTTAATATCTTCATTATTTATTTTTTCTAGCCACATACATAGATTATACATCTATTGTACACAATTAGACACACATAATACATAAATTATGTATATGTTCGGCTATTTTTAGTTTTAGTTGTTGGGTGAACGACTATTCGGGTTAAGGGTTAATTCTTCTTGAATATAAATGAGTCGACTAATTTATAAATGGTTGCCCAGATTTACGCGACTCTTGTTTTCGGGGCTGTATTGTTCGCTTTTGGAGGAGCACTATTGGTGCCCACGTCCCTAAAAGCCTTATTCCTCTTAGCGACATGCTTTGTCTGCAACACCATGGCCATTTACGCCCCAATGGTAGAGGGGCAACATGTGTGGGGCAACATTGCGAGATTTTGGACACTTTACATTCTCGAGGCATGCCTTGCGGGCATGTTAGCTTTTTCTTTGTTGGAGTTTGCATTTGGAGTCTATACGGGGTATAAGTTTATCTTATCTAATGCTTAAAGTGGTTTTGTTTTGAAGAGATTATCATCTAATGACTGCTAATTTACATGTTTTTGGACAGCTTCTTTGTTGCTTCTATGATTGGCCTAGCTCTATGTGAAGGCTGCTTCTCATGCTTTGCCATGGGGAGTTCCAAAAAGATATATTTGGGTAGCATACTGTGCTGCATTCTTATACTAATGTTCCTTTCTTCAAAGGTGAAAAGAACAACCATTTGTGGACCGTAGGGCCATGTTATCATGGTGAGTATTATACTTAGTTAATAACTTTACTCTATGATTTGATTGGTTTTGACTACTTCTAATTTAATGTACAGGTGGGAGTCATTATCATACTATGTATGATATACCTCATTGTCTACTCTCAAGAGATTGCTCATCGCCTCACCCAAACTGAGGCACCAAATTTCTATGTGTATAGGACTCATATTTTGACTTTCTATGGTGCATTTTTTTGCATCATAGTGCATTCTGTAAGAAAAAAGTACTCCTAAGTCTAAAGTTTTTTGGTTCTTATTATATGCAAATTTAGCTCATGGCATTAATGTTTTTTTTGTAGATCAAAGTGCTGGTGATGCCCGTGACCGAGCCGGCGCANGAACTAATAATTCCATCAGCCAAGTAAGTAAAACTACAAAGGTCAGTACCAACAATTAAGTATTACCATAAAATTTTCAAAGCTACATAAATCAACAGATTTGTCCAAATGGAGGAAAGGGATAAAAGGAAAATGAAAAGCATGAAATTTCCACATTGTTTCATAGATCTTCTTATATCAAAATCCTCATAAGCTTTTTTAGACAAACCACAATCATGCACAATTTTTAAAAATCTTACTTCATAAGGTCTAAAAACACCACAAAACCCTTAGAACCTAAGTACAAAATAAAAAAAGCAAAATAGTTCGATTGAAGTGAATCAAACTCGGCCGGTAGATATGAACCTCATCTCGACTGTTATGGATGATTTCTTTGATCCATAGGACCTCTCCAACAGTTTAAGACTCTTGCTCTATCTCATCAGTCAATGCCTCAGCTTCACCATAGCTATAATTGCTGATCTGATTCACATTCCTTTCAATCTGATCATCATCTCTACTACTTTTGCTTACTTTGCTATCCTTTATAGCACAAGCTTCCAAATTCACTAACAAACTCAGTTTTACACTTTCTTGTTCCCTCATCATCATCAGCAGCAGCATTTTGTACTGCTAATCCAACCTTGTCACCACCAAAACACCTGGTGACTTTACATGTGAAAAGCAACTCAGCAATTCTATCTTTTTTTTAAATTTCAACTCTTTGGGATGATCTACAACTGCCACCATTACAGCATACTCATTTATACTTAATGTATCTGAATTTGCTAAAAGGGCAGCCCGGTGCACTAAGCTCCCGCTATGCGCGGGGTCCGGGGAAGGGCCGGACCACTGAAGTCTATTATACGCAGCCTTACCCTGCATTTTTGTAAGAGGCTGCTTCCACGGCTCGAACCCGTGACCACTTGGTCACATGGCAATAAATTTACTAGTTGCGCCAAGGCTCCCCTTCAATGTATCCGAATTTGATGTCTGAAAATAATCACTCCATTTATTAATTGTCCCAGTAATTTTAGTGATAGCTGGGATTAAAGAACCGTTAACAATTTTTAATTTACAACCTAGATAAAAAGATTAGATTTTTATAACAGCCACATAGTAAAAATTCAATCTTTATCAGACTTTGATAATACCCAGAAACTAAATATTAAATCTTTTATGAAAACTCTAATCAGAAACAAGACCTGCAACAGTAAAACCTCTCATTTCTATCAAAAGATTGAGTCAAATAAATCTCTAGTAAATTCTGAGGAAATAAATATAAGAAAAATCTGATACCTATGATATTCTGAGAAAATTAAAAGACAAAACTCCCAACCAATCATAAGATTTTATTTCAAGAGGTGGAATGATACAGGAATTAGATTCCAAGATATCAATGGAAAACTTCCACAGAAAAGTTATCCCAATTAAAGGAGATTTCAGGGAAGTAAGTTGCCAGAGCATGGCTGATCTATGCAGGATTTGATGACAGGTATACTTTTGCTATTTATACTCTTGTGTGAACCGTGTTTATTACTGACTCTTAACAATGTTTCGTTTAAAAAAGAATAATTCTTTTCTAAATTTGAAAATAATTTAGGTTAAACTTATAATTCTACCCTTAATGAAAAACTTTTATAACCACACAAATACTCTGAACCCCTTTTTTAACTTGTTTAGAATCATAAATTTTAAAAATATTCATTTTTTTAAATTACGTATTCAACTTCACATAAATTGAAACATAGAGAATAATAGTTTAGTTATATACTACATCATTAAATCATGTTTTAACATGTTATACATTGTAAGGAGGCTTAACTATAAATAACATTTGAGTCACATGGTAGTGTAGATTTTTTTTATAATAACAGTGTATATATAACTTAATCCAAGATCCAGTTTGTGTCTTCTAAATTTTATTATTATTATTTTATGCCTCTATGTATTATAATAATAATAGTAGTATTATTATTAAGTTAAGTTTTTTTCCTTGATTAGAATAAGATAGCAAACATTTCTTACTCTATCATATTAGCTGGTGCAATATTATTGGACCTGCAATTAAGAAACTATATGAGAATAGAATTGGTTACCATTATATATCATGTTTACCCCTAAAAAGTATTTTTGGCAAGTAGTCATGCTAACACACATTGTCCCATAAATAAAACTTGATAAATTAACGTTTTCCAAATCCGTAAATGCCACAAAAATCAAAGAACTTCTTACTTAACTCAAATTAGTTTTATACAATGTTAAAAATCAAACAGAAGTCTGTTTCTAAGGCCAACAGCCATTTCTTAAAATTGATGAAATGTTTACTTTGTGGTAACTTCTTTAAAACCCCAATTGAGAATTGACAAGTTCTTCCCACCCAGCAAATGCCCCTATTCTATGTTTCTGCCATTTCGCTCTGCAGTTAATATTAATTTTAATCCAATGAAGAACCCCCACACAAAAAAATGTTCCAAATCAAAAGATTCAGAACCCAACTCAGTCTCTTAAGAAAACCACCTAATCCCTCAAATTAGCAATACCCTTAGGAGAGAGATCATGTTGTTCTTCAAATAACCGAGGGTTTTAATGTCATTTGTGGGCTTCATTTAATGTGTTAGGCCTGCTTTATTGGTTGTTGAATTTGGTGATTTGATTAATGGGGTTGATGTTTTTGTTGTGAAATGAATTCGTTTGATAGGTGGAAGCTTATAGGCCAAATGATTCAGCTTGTCACGGTCGGTTTGGCAAAACAGCCAGGACTGCCCCTGTTGTTAGATTCTTAAAGCTAACATTTTTGAGTCACTTGCTTTACATTAACGGTCAATGCTGAGAAAAAAAAGTGCTGTTCAGTTTTTTGTTGCATGCATAAGTAAATAAATGGAAATGTGCCCAACTTTATAACAGCTTAGGCTTTTAGACGAGGGTTCACTCAAGTTTGAAATTCCTGCTCTTATACAAAATTTATGCAAGATAATAGATGGGCTATGTACTATTGCACAAGTACCTGTTTAGCAATTATTAAAGAGGATTACCCGCCTCCCTCCTTATGTTAGAGTTGGAGATATTATGTGCAGTGTCGACTGTCTGCATGAAGTATAATGGCATTGCTGTCACTTACCCAAAGAAAATGTTATTGTTGTCTTATGTTAGTATTGCTTAACTTAAACTATATGAAGGTTAACACATTGTGTATTTCAAACATGTAATTAGATGTTGACACATGTCCTAAGAGTTTCCAGAGAAGGCAGGGTGTAGTTGCTTATAAGAACTTAGATTGTTTATGGTGTGATATAATGATATCAATTTCATAGATTTGGTTGTGTGAAGAAAACATTTACAGTCATTACTTTCGTGCTCTTCATTTCTTTGTAGCACTGTGCTATGACATCTATTAGTATATGTTATAGAGCATATATATTGGGGCGTCCCTTCTGGATTTTCTATTGATTTATGATTGATAGTTTGGTCTTGGAGGTCATGCATAAGTCTACCTCTGTCATGGTCTCCATATCTCACTGTCGTGGCAGACAGGGAAGGAGTTGGAGCAGCAGTTTTGATTGTTCCTGTGCTCCCATCAGTGGTTATTTGAATTATGTAATCCTGCATTTTGTACTTCTAAATTCGTTTGCGTTAGTCCCACTGCAAGTCAATGCATGAACTTCTCAAAGTACGCCACCTTCTCTTAGTGACCTTTTCATTCATTTTCTGAAGCAATAATTCCATTTTTACCAAAATACATTTGTTGCATTAGTGCGCATGTCAAGAAGAGCAAAATTGATAATAGTATAGGTGTAGTTAAAATGCATCCATTGAAATGTAATAGGACCATCTATAGCTCTTGACAATTCTTGTTCTTTTAGAATAATTAACTATGTCTGTTTTAATTGAAATCATCAACCAGTATCACAATAGTCAGAGGCAGAGCTATGGCCGGGAAGGAAAACACTAGATATAACTGTTTGAATATCCTGAGTTCACCTTGGTACTCTTCAAATGATGACTAATAAGTAATCTAGAATGTTGATTCAGGCATTGGAGTTTCCATGCTTGCGTGATAAATGGAAAGTAAGGTTTTAAAGATTAAAGACAGTAGACACACAATATCATTGAAGAACACTGCACCACAGTTTTAATGATCTTTTCTCTCAAGTTCTGCATTGTTGGGCTAGTGTATTATTTCAAGGTTTTCCTTCAGTAATTAAGGAATAGACACTGCAGGTTTGGGTACTATTCAGCAGCGCCGGGGTTCAAAAACTTAGAAGCCTATTCTTCTTGCAGGTCCTGGAAAGGTAAGTTATGACCTTTGTTTGGTATAAGACTGTTGCTTACCGTCATTGTATTAATCAAGCCTTTCTTAAAGATTACATAAAGGTTATTCGCTTTACTTGATTGAAATCCCATGTTAAAAGAGTTTGGAATTTTGTTATGGAATTTAGCTTGAACCATGTTATTTTATTTGATTCAATGACACTAATCCTTAGGTATCTACTACTCTTTTTTTTCTTTTTCTTCCAGGAATCCTTGGAAGCTTCTTTATGTATGAAAAATTGAAACAAGTATATACAGCTATGTTTTTCTAGAGTTATGCTGCATGCGTCATGGGTAGTAAACCATTGTGCCTAAACATGAAACGTTTGCTATGATATGCCCTTAGGGTCTTTTATCTGACCATTTGTTCCTTGTTCTTAGACGGATTTCATATTTTTGGCAATTGTGACGTTCTAAGCTTCCATTGGATTCCTTTTTACATAAACTCACTGGACAATGGTTGTTTTCACTGGCTTAGGGTAATCTAAGTTTCAGATGATAATTGTGGTGATATCCGACATTTTGCAATATCATATTCAATGGAGTAAAAATCATTTAAAGGTATAAATTGACAATCCTTTCTATAGTGGCTATATGCGTAACTTTGGTGATCAATGCATCTTACAATTAATTGTAAACTAAACCCTCAGTTCAAATTTAAGTACGCTCTAGACCAAGAACTTATGTAAGTCAAATCCGCTGTAGGATCAACCTTTTACCTGAGAATTATAGAGTATTAAGTGAAATTCAGATGCAACCTTCAGAAAATGCTAAAGAGTTTCAAGTTATTAACTTCCTTGACGAGCTTCTTGACATATTGTATATTTGTAGAGGCCCGCTTTCTGAATCTCAACTGTAACTATGATAGCATACAATTTTAGTCATCGGTCATCTCCATCCAAGTATTTTTCATCTCAGTAGGAATGTGAAGAGCAAATATGTCTATTTGAATTCCATTGCTTACATTTAGAGAAGCATCCTTCTATTTTCAGTATTATGAAGAGATTACTTGTAATTTCTGCAAGTTAGGCTGGTATATCCCGGGACCTGGTTAGAAGAAATTTGTTGTACAAGTCATAGTAGTAGTACGAGCAATATGAGATGTTCTAGCAAATTGCAAAGACAAGTCCTGGGAAAATGTTAGTACTGCTTTCCAGGGATTGTTAGGGTACAAAATTTGCTTCATATAGAGCATTAGTATATAATGACACGTAAGAGGTAAAATATATTTTCTGTCTGACCATGCGAACTTGGATGATTCCTCATTTCATATGCACGGCCATAAGCTGCAAAAGCTAAAATCATTAATTAACTTTTTTTTTCTTCTATACAATTTTTAAGTAATAGGGGGAATTGTTTGGAACATGATTCGATTGTCTATTGTATGGTTCATTTTAAATATATACTCTTGTATGATTTTATTTCCTTTGAAAGGTATTTTAATCTGTATAGAACCCCAGACAACCAAAAGGTCGAAGATGCTGCCCTCTATCTAGATGGACTAGCTGATACTTGGTACCACTCATTAATATTGAGCAGAGGTAAAGTGAGTTGGGCTGAATTTAAAGAAGAATTCCTTATTAGATTTGGAGAGGAACTAATGGAGGATATAGTAGAAGAGTTCAACAAGTTGAGTCAAGTAGGCTCTGTTGATGACTTCCCAGGCAAGTTTGAAGACTTGAAAGCTCAAATGGTGGTAAGGAATCCTTGCTTGGATGAGTCTCACTTTATATCCAGTTTCATAGGTGCCCTAAAGGAAGAAATAAGGTTTGGTGTGAAATTGTTCAAGCCTACGACCCTAAGATTTGCTATGGGACAAGCCAGACTACAGGAGAAGGCCATAGAAGCTGCTCAAAAGAAGAACAAGGGTACCCCAAAGCCCTCATTTGTAGCTAGCAGTTCTGTTAACCTAAAGGCTCCTGTTGTAGTTGCAATCTAGCCAAACTCCTTTAGACTTAGCCCTGAAGTCTATGAGTACAGGAAGAGCAATCATTTGTGTTTTAGATGCGGTAAAAAGTACGCTCCAGTTCATCAGTGCAAGAAGAAGCAACTGAACTGTATGAGGGGAGAAGTAGAGCCAATTCTTGAATGTACTGAGGCAGTTAAAGAGCAACCTTGTGCAGACTTGATCATCGAAGGAGAGTTGGAGCAGGAAGTCATGGAAGTTGTGTGCATGAATGCCCTATCAGGTGACAACAAAGGAGTCAATACCATATTGGTCAGAGGTACCATAAGAAACAAGAAACTAACAATGCTAATAGATTCTGGCAGCACCCATAGTTTCGTTGATGCTAACACAGTCAAGGAGACATGCTACCAGGCTAGGCATTGCCCACCAGTGAGAGTGACAGTAGCTGATGGGAACTATGTCATGTGCACCTCCATTTGCACAGGATATCAATGGAAGATGCAAGGTAGACCTTTCCAAGAAGACTTGCTAATCATTCCACTAGGAGGCTGTGACATGGTGATGGGTAATGATTGGATGAAGAAGCACAATCTCACTAAGTTTGATCATGAAAAGATGTGTGTTACCATTGGCAAAAAAGGCAATAAACTAGTGTTGCAGGGTATTTCTGAAGAGGGTAAACTAAACATGATCTCAAGTGGAACCATGGGAAAGATGCTGAAGAAGGGCCAAGCTCTGATAGCTCATTTGTTCATGATGAGCTCCGTGGTGGCAGAAGATCAGGAACCAGTAGAAGAGGCAATTCAAGAGGTGTTGCACCTGTATCCTGATGTGTTTGCAGAACCTAAATCTCTGCCCCCTGTCAGGACCCTAGACCACACCATTCCCTTGAAACCTGGAGCCATACCAGTCAGTCTAAGGCCCTACAGGTACAATTATTATCAGAAGGATGAGTTAGAAAGACAGGTCAAAGAGATGCTCACCAATGGGATAATTCAGCATAGTCAATCACCCTTTTCATCACCGGCTCTATTTGTCAAAAAGAAAGATGGAACCTATAGGGGACGGAATGACACTACAGTGAAGGACAAGTATCCTATCCCTATTGTGGATGACCTCTTAGATGAGCTGTGTGGATCTGTGATTTTTTCTAAGGTGGATTTGAGAGCCGGTTATCACCAGATCAGAATGAAGGTAGATGATGTTTACAAGACAACTTTCAGAACTCATTTAGGTCATTATAAGTTCAGTGTTATGCCATTTGGATTAACAAATGCACCTGCTGCCTTCCAAGCTTTAATGAACCGGGTTTTTCAGCCTTTCCTTAGAAAGTTTGTTTTGGTCTTCTTTGATGATATCCTCATTTACAATCTATCTGTGAAAGATCATGTAACTCACCTAGTTGTTGTATTTGACACTCTGAGGAAACCCTCCTTATTTGCTAAGAAGTCAAAATGCTCATTTGGTCAATCTAAGGTTGAATATCTAGGCCATATAATAACTGCAGAAGGAGTATCTACTGATCCTACTAAAATACAAGCTATGATCGACTGGCCTAGACCAACCTCATTGAGAGCACTGAGAGGATTCTTGGGGTTGACTGGGTACTACAGAAAGTATGTTGCTAATTATGGAGTTATTTGTAGGCCATTGACTGATTTACTCAAAAAGGATGCTTTTAAATGAAATGTTGGAGCTGATTTAACTTTTGCAACCCTCAAGAAAGCTATGTCTTCTACTCCAGTGTTGGCCCTACCTCATTATACTAAGGAGTTCATAGTGGAAACAGATGCTAGTCAAAATGGCATTGGTGTTGTATTGATGCAAGGAGGAAGACCAATAGTTTATTTTAGCAATGTCTTGGCTCAGAAGCACAGAGGTAAGTCAATCTATGAGAAAGAGTACATGGCTTTGCTGAATGCAGTAGACAAGTGGAGACACTATTTGCAATACAAGCATTTTGTGGTCAGGACTGACCACCACATCTTAAAATACCTTCTGGAACAAAGGGTTACTTCTGCCATACAACAGAAAGGATTGACCAAATTACTTGGGTTAGACTATGAAGTGCAGTACAAGAGAGGGGCTGAGAATAGGGTAGTTGATGCCCTTTCCAGGCAGCATGAAGAATCAGAAAACAACACAAGCCAAATTCAAGGGAAATTACAGGCAATTAGTGTCTCAGTTCCTTCTTGGATGTAAGAGATAGTACACAGTTATGAAGGAGATACTCAAGCTGCAGAATTAATTAGTCAGGCAACAGTGAACATACAAGGACCTAACATTTGGCATTACTCTTCTAGCTACTTAGAAGGAAAGGAAAAATCTATATTGGGGCTAATGGTGGTCTCAGAACTCAGCTGATCTCAACATTCCATGACTCAGGACAACTAGGAACTCTTGAAAGGTTGTCGCAGATGTTCTACTGGCCCAAGATGAAACAAATGGTCAATGACTTTGTTGCTAGCTGAGATGTTTGCCTTAGGAGCAAGGATGACAATATGGCATACCCTGGTCTCCTGCAGCCCCTCCCCGTTCCAAATCAAGCATGGAGCCATATCAGTATAGACTTCATAGAAGGTCTTCCTAAATCCAAAAACAAGGAGGTCATTCTTGTGGTAGTTGATAGAATGATCAAGTATGCCCATTTCATAGCTCTTTCACATCCTTATACTGCAGCAACAATGGCTGAACAAATACACTGCTTGCATGGCACTCCTGAATCCATAGTAACTGACAAGGATAAAGTGTTTCTAAGCAATTTTTGGCAATCCTTATTCAAGCTTATGGGAACTCAATTGCATCACAGTACAACCTACCACCCTCATAGTGATGGTCAAACTGAAAGAGTCAACAAGTGCTTGGAAAATTATCTCGGATGTATGACTGCCAGTCGACCAACACAGTGGAGACAATGGCTTACTGCTGTTGAGTGGTGGTACAACACCAACTTCCATACCAGCCTACAATGCACTCCTTTTGAGGCCTTGTATGGTTATTCACCTCCTTAGTTATCCCTAGGCCCCTTACTGGACACAGTGGTGCAAGCAGCTGAAGATACAATAATGAGGAGACAACAGATGCAACAATTGTTGAAGGACAATCTAACTAAGGCTCAGGAGAGAATGAAATACTATGCTGATAAGAGGTCTGATAGAGAATTCCAAGTGGGGGATATGGTCTATTTAAAACTCCAACCATATAGGCAGACTTCCATTGCATTGAGGAAAAACTTAAATTGAGTTCTAAATACTATGGATAGGATCCTGGCTAGAATTGGTAATATGGCCTACAAATTGGATCTGCCTCCGGAATCTAAGGTCCACCCTGCGTGTCATGTTTATTTACTCAAGAAAAAAGTGGGTGATCGAGTAGTGGTGCAGACAACTTTACCTATCACTAGTGATGATGGTCAGTTCCTGGTGAAACCGGTTGCTATTCTGCAAAGGCAACTGATCAAGAGGAACAATGTTGTTGTGGTTGGAGTACTGGTACAATGGTCGAATCTACCTCCAGAAGATGCTACTTGGGAGGATTATCAGTTCCTCAAAGCTAAGTTCCCAGATTTCGACTCTAATACTTGAGGACAAGGATCCTTTGAAGAGGTGGGGTATGTAATGATCCATTAATAATCTAAAGACTAGTGTTGTCAGCATGGCTCGATGAAGGAAAGTATTAGGCGAGGGAATAGCTAGAATAACAGAATCGGGGAAGAGGAAGTAATAGAAATTCAAATCGACGGCTAGGATTAGTTTTGAATAAATGAGTTGCAAAGGCTAGGATTGTGCCACTTCAGCTGAGGTTGTTATAACGAACCCTCAACAGAATTGGGAAGGCAACGAATCTAAGGTCAATATTCTCTCTTCTCTCTCTTTCTCACTCGATCCCTGCCTCTTCTCTTTCACTTCCTTCAATCTCTGATTCTTTCTTCTTCTTCTTCATTTCTGCAGATCTCAATCAGCTATGGAGTTAATCCGTAATAGATAGTTGTTTCATTTTGGTTGTTTGTAGTTCGACTTTTTCCATTTATATATAAAACAGAAAATTGTCCCAAAATCTCCTTTTATTTCGCACTTTAGTTGATTAATTTCTCTGATTCTTAGCAAGATCATTACATTAGGCTACATAACTATGCTTTGTTATAGAAAATAGGTTTCTGTTTTTTGTTTTGAATTTGAGTGGAGGGGAAAAATGAGTATTTGGTTTTGTTCTGTTTGTTCTTACTATTGAATCACCAATTGTGTTTTTTCCCACCCAATTAAATTAGCTCATGAAGGTAAATGCTTTCTTTCCCTACCTAATTTCTTACGGGAAGAGACAGCGGAAATAGATTCAGGATCCAAATGAGCTCTGTTTATTGAAAGAATCTGGTAAAATTCCTTTTGGGGTCGTTTCATTGCAATTTAAATTAGAGATCGAGCACGAACAAGCTTATCGGATTTCGAATTCTCAGTAACGTGAAAGTGCATAGCCTTCTGTAAATTATGCACACACTTGATAAAATCCTTGGCTTTGTAGATAGAGTTAAGCAATATGAAATGTTTAACTGCAACTTAAGGATGCTTTCCACACAATTGCTTTAAGGTTGAAGAATGGAAGGAGCACTAATTTACACAATTGCTATAAGCAGTGAGTTTAAACATTAAAATGCAAGTCAGTTGTTACGTTTATACTTTGTCCTTGCCATAAGGTTGTAGTTTCCTACTTGCACATGAACCGACAAAGGAGCCGATTGTGTGGTACTGAGAGTCCAAAAACAAAATCTGTTCGATTGTACATCCATTGTCGATTTCTTCACCGTTCAATGGAGTCAATTGTGTGGTATTGAGACTGTGATTAGAACCTGAAATTGCTAAAATCCATTTTCCTCCCATTGCTTGCAAAACTTTTCTTTGTTGTTGTTGGTTGCATTGCTGGTGCATTAGAAGTTAAGCTTGTTTCTTAATGGAAATTTTCTCTTCTGTAGTTTGATTAGTTAGAGGTGAAAGCTTTTCAAGTTTAAGAAATTTTACTGTTATGGGTGTTCAGATACACCACATCTGTCACTGTCTCTAGCCTAGATTTTTGCCTTGTAACAGAGACTTGTTATTCCTTAATTTGAATAATGTGGCGTTGAAGTTAGAATGTTGTTTCCAGCTTTGCGCTTCTCCATTGCAACTCTATCCAATTTATTCTTTATGGTATGAGCATGTCTGCATTCACTATTAATTGCATTATTATGGTTGTAGAATGTGGACAGTGCCTGAAGCTAAAACCATATCAAGGACATCACTGGTTGATGATCAAAAGGTAGGGTTAGGGCGCGAGGACTGTATCCTACAACTGTGATATTTATGCAAGAAAAGTGGACAGCAATGTAATCTTAGGTACTCTGTTATTCAAGCTTGTCGGTATTAATGACTTTGGTGGTGGTGTTTTTAGCGTAAGGATGTAAAAAGTGAATCCAAAGATATTCTTGGGGAACTTTCGAGGACGGATCATACTATACAGTAAGTTTCGTATGCTTGTTATTCGTAAATTTCACGTGGATCATGCTTTTCAATATAAGTATTGAAAAGGTAAGAGCTGCTTCTCACTTTTAACAAAAGGCAGAACGCTCGATAAAACAATTTCAAATCTGGAGATGGAATTAGCTGCAGCGTGGGCATTGCAGGATTCTACAATGAGTGGTTCTCCAATAACTCAAGATCTGAAGATCCTTGAATTAACCAAGAAGAGAAAATATCTAATGGTAATAGGAATAAACACTACCTTTAGTAGCCGAAAAAGAAGAGACTCAGTTCGTGCTACCTGGATGCCACAAGGTTCTTGACACTTCATTAACAGCGTTTTCTTACTTATTTGTGCACATGTACTACAACGAGGTGCCTACTGAAAATTTCGTTATTGACTTGTTGTAAAGCAGGTGATAAGCCAAAGAAGCTTGAGGAGGAAAAGGGCATTGTGATTCGGTTTGTAATAGGACACAGGTATGTGACTCAATTAGGTCTGATGTTCTCCAGACGTAGTTACCGAGCTTCATTTTGGAGCTGGTAATGATTTTCTGATATTAGCCAATAATTTTTTCATTGTGTTAGGGTGAGGCTACTTCGTGAAATACTACAGAGGTTTCTTTAAGGATTGTGCTGATGATTAAAAATGTGGTTCATAATTTCTTGAATGGGTTAAGAATTCCAATAATTATCAAAGTTGGATTATTTGTATGTTTCTCTTATCTGTTCTATCGTCTGGTGCTTGGTCTTTTATATTATTACTCATTTGATTATGATTTCACCAGTGCAACATCAGGTGGAATTCTTGATTGAGCAATTGAAGCAGAAGAGAAGATGCATGGAGATTTCTTGAGGCTGGAAATGTCAATGCTCTCTGGTCTACTCCTTTATGAAATCTTGTCCCTCTTAAAAACCGTGAAAGGGGAGACAGTTAGTTGTTCCTCAAAAGCTGACATGTCAATTGAACTTCATTAGGAACACGTTGAGGGATACCTTGAACTATCAGCCAAGACAAAGACCTATTTTACTACTGCTATTTCACTCTGGGATGCAGATTTCTATGTCAAAGTTGATGACGATGTGCATGTAAATATAGGTAAATGCAGCCCTTATGGATTCTAAATATCATGCTTCTATTTCTACATTTGTACTGTCTTTGCTTTCACGATTAACCTACATGTATTCAAACTTCAGGAGCGCTGGCGGCAACTCTAGCTAGACATCGCTCAAAACCCAGTGTATATATTGGTTGCATGAAATCTGGTCCTGTCCTTGTGCAGAAGTAAGCAGAGGGTTTACTAGAATTTATCTGTAAATGCACGCTGAGGAAATTTCCTATATTTATTCCGATTTTTGTCGTCCTTTACTTATAGGGGAGTGAGATATCGTGAGCCTGAGCATTGGAAATTTGGTGACGACGGAAACAGGTATTTCCGACATGCAACAGGCCAACTGTATGCCATCTCAAAAGATTTGGCCACCTATATATCTATAAACAGGTAAGCATTTGTTGTTTTCCTATGGACTTGGATTGTTTGTTTATTAATCAAATATCATTTTCTGATCTTCAAATAAATTACCTAGGCACATTCTACATAAGTATGCTAACGAGGATGTAACAGTGGGATCGTGGTTCATTGGATTGGATGTGGAACATATAGATGACCGTAAATTGTGTTGTGGAACTCCACCTGGTAACAACTTCCAACTCCCTATTTCTCAGATGCAGTCAGCCGTAAGATTCACGAAAGTTATGACTTCTTAATCTGCATTGAGCATTGATCATTGTCAATTTCAGTGTCATCTGCTTTTATTTGTTATTTATCTCTAAGATCAATAAGAAAGGGCGAGTCAGTTGATGATTATGCTATGTTCAAAAGGGGTTTTAACATCAGCCTTAAAGTAGATGCTTGATTGATGAGCCAGATATCTCCAATAACACTATTGTCCTTCATAATTTTGTATAAATGAAAATGGTTTCTTATACTAGAGCTCCTGTGCTTCTTTCTTTGTTTTCCCTTAATATGGAAGTGGAATTATATTGAACGCTGGCATTGGATTATGTCTTGAACATCGTATAAGAAATGACCGGAACTGTATACAAAAGTCTTGCAAATATGTTGCTTATTACATATTTTGAGGAATCACATTTACTGATTTAGCTTTGCTTCTTTCAATAAGTATCTGGAAAATTCTTTGAGTTGCTTCTCTGGAACAGTTCTGCTCATTAAATGATGTGCAAGAGATACTTGTGGAGTTGTTTACTCTTGTTTCATTATCTATATATTAACAGATTGTGAGTTGAAAGCTTAAGCAGCCAACATCTGTGTTTCTTCCTTTGATTGGAGTTGCAGTGGTATTTGCAAGTCTGTAGAGAGGATTAAGGAGGTTCATCGCCGTTGTGCGGAAGGCGATAATGCTTTGTGGAGCGCCGCCTTCTGATGATTCCGCAATTCTCCAATCTATGGAGCCTGCAAGTAGATTGTAGCGACTCTTTAAAATCTATATCTCCAAGAAGTTAGTATAAATCAGCTTGTAAAATACGTGCTCGAGGTAGTGTGTCTTTCCACAAGTTTTCCTTGATCAAATGCATCTAAAGTAAATTCTTTATGCTTTTCTGCTATTTGTCTACGATAAGTGTTATCTTTTTTATTTCTTATCTTTATTTATAACACATGATATGATAAATGATTAAACCTGTTATAATTTGGTGCTGAATTGAGTATGCCTTTATGCATATTTTTTTTCTGTCAAATGAAATAGAATAATCATAATGTTGATAGGACGCTTATAGTATTGACACTTGTGAAAAATGAAATACTATATAGATGGATCATCCACAAATAAAAAAGATCCTCATTCGGTGAACGAAGATCATGATAAGGAGGCCAAAATCTATGATCATATGACAATGGCCGAGAAAAGGAGGCCAAAATCTATGATCATATGACAATGGCCGAGAAAGAAGCACTGTTGTTACAATGATGCCTCAAATATTAAGAGGAAATAAGTGAACGTCTTCTTGCAACCACGAATCCCATGACGTCATCCTTGATTTTTCAATTGTAGAACACGAACTCCACAATACTATCCTTAATTTTTTAATCGTAAAACTAACGAACTCCACGGCTCAATCATTGTGTTTACTTGGTAACTCATTCTCTAGCACACGCCCAATAGGACAATTAGCGCACGTCCTCACAATATTCCAAGACCAAAAATTATTCCTCACTTCCCATAGTCTTCAGGTTCTTACAGCTCGATCGACGCACGTATGTTTCCTCAAACATTGGTTTGCATAAGCACATTTATGACATTGAAACTCAAAGCCAACTGGCGTTTACAATAGCAAAGGCACATTACCATAACTCTGTTTCGTTTGTAATATTTGATAAGCTAGTGTCACAGTCCAATTTCCACCATAGGCCGCGCTAGCGTCTAACGCTGTCGCCAGGCAAGCCAACAATAACTCAACACTACAACAAGTAGTTCATAACATCTTTCAAAACAATTTGCGAGGTGAACGAGTGGAAATCATTCCATAATCATGGTAAAATACTAGCATCATCATCAAGATTCCAAACTTGATCAAAATATGAGTCTGAATATTAGAACAATATAATCGCGAACAACGGTCTAAAATTCCCAAGTCCCGGTGTCATAAGTGCGTGAGCATCTACTGAAATATACAATACTACTACAATAACTGTCTGGAATAGAAAGTAGACAGAATATAATAAATAAATAGAAAGGAGAATCTGTGTGTTGCGGATCGAAGCATAGAAAGCAGCTCACTACTAAGTCTGCTCGGTAATTGCGCCTACGCGCAAGAAGGGCATGTCCCAGTACCTGCACAATTAGCACAACAATATAGTATGAGTACGTAAGTCAACGTGTACCTAGTAAGTATCTAGTATCCTCGAAGAAGCAGTAGCGAAGGGTCAACATCGACAATAACAACAACAACAACCCAGTATAATCCCACTAGTGGGGTCTGGGAAGGGTAGTTTATACGCAGACCTTACCCCTACCCTAGGGTAGGGAGGTTGTTTCCGATAGACCCTCGGCTCGCTCCCTCCAAGAACTCCCCACCTTGCTCTTGGGGTAATTCGAACTCACAACTTCTTTGTTGGAAGTAGAGGGTATGAGGCACATCGACACTTACAGGTGGTCCAATAATCAAAATACATAAGAAATTAGATAGGTATGAGGCATGGCAAGTTGTAATGAAGTAGATAAACATGTACAACGTGCTTTTCAATAAAAGAACCAAATATGAAATCGCCAAGTACCAATCTTCTATCTCGAATAAAGTATATGTGACCACTGTCAGGTGCAAATGTCAAATCCGAGTCAAGGTGATGATGTACGCACTAACTACTTATCGAAACATTCCACATATTCTTGTCGAGGCTAAAGACCCGATCTTATAAAGATAGTGCTGAGGCAATCAGCCCGATCCCATAAGAATATCACTGAGGTTTTTCATAAATATACTGCTAAGGTCAATCCCATAAGAGTATTGAAACTTCCGAACACCTAAGTACAACAGGGGAGTAAATTCATAATGAAAATATAATCCCACGGCTGATCGAGTATCACGTCAAGTCCTTAGAATAGCAAAGCTCGGTAACCTATACGCAAGTCTAGTATAAGGCTAAAGAAGGGGAGAGGTTTTCAAAAATTTAAGAATTCTGAAGTAGTACTGTGTTGGGTGGGGCCTGTGCTGTGCATGAGTAGCTCCTCGCTATTGGAAATATATTTGTGAGGTCTTCACAAGTGTTTGACAATCAATTCACGCCTTTCACTTGATACATTTTACTCTCCTGTTTTCTGATACAGGAAACTAGAGGTAAAAGCCTAAACTAACAATATTATATACTCACAGTCCTTTCAACTTGTAAGGAGCTCATGATCTGGCAAAGAAAAGTAGAAGTGGTACATTATTAGAGTAATCACAGGTATAGAGAATCAGCTGGCATTGACATTGGACTCCAGAGAAACAGAGTGCTCCATTTTTATCCTTAGTTTGGACATGGGAAAATATTGAAACCAATACACAAGCACAACCTTCTTCCACATATGCGCTTCTTCATTTCCCCAAAATATGTTACTCAATCCCAGAATGTGAGATTACTCAATCTCATGGCAGCGAAGTAATATGTTCTTACGTGCCCTCACTTAAAGTTTATAACTCTTTCCTCAGGTTTGCTTATCATTCAGGACGTCATCAACAAAGAGATGCAGAGATGTTTATGTTAACTGTACCATTAACAGTAAAGTTCAGACCATTAGTTTACTGTCGTATCAACAGACCCCGCGCTAAGCATATGTCAAGATGGGTCAAATACCTACATAATTGTATTGTCGTATCTAACGGACCCTGCGCCAAGCTCGGAGGGTGAAAACTAGTTACAAATAATTTGCCATCTCTAAATTAGAAGGACAAAGTAATACACAACAGATCCATCTCCTTAGATTTCGGTAATTCGATGTCTATATATATATATACAAGTGCAAAACCCATGAACTTAGACCTATGTAGCAATTCCATCTCCTTTTTTTCCCACTTTATCTCTTTCCTCCATTTGGTCTTAACCAAAAATCAGCATCACTTATGTCCTTGGTACTGCTGTCCTGGCCTTTTTCCAGAGTAATTTCTGTCACAATAACAAAAGGAACAGTTTAAATACTATCACCAAATAAGACTGATAACCTAATGATGACACCAAGAATACTACTTAGAGAAATACACAAAAAGAACTCGCTCACCTGCTTCCCAAGGTTGAATGGGATGTATTTGTATCTGATCATTTGTCTAATTAGGGAATCCATGGTACCGACAAAATGGAGAATCCAGATGAACAACAAGAAAGGCCAGTACGTAGGAACATCGAATAGGGAGAAGAAAGTTATGATAAATGCGATACAGAGAGCCTTTGTTATGGCATACCTGAAGAAATCAGAAAAATGAGTAGACATTAGCAACACCCAAGTGGCCAAGTGTCATAAGTAAGTATCAAATAACCCAAAATAGAAGCATCATCAGAACCATTCCACATGCTATGTCCACTATAGAATGTAAAACAGCAATTCCTACCAAGTAGCAAAAGCAACAAAAGTGAGTCTGAGTCAGCTCTCAAATATTTAACAAATGAAAGAGAAACTGTGTTCCTATATGTTTAATCCTATGACAAAGAGACAAACTAGTAAACAATAAGGTAATCTGAAGATCCATTTTTTTATATAAGGGAAATCTTAAATGTGATCTTCCTCTCGCCAAGTTCATCTTTGTCCAACACAGGAAACATAAGAAATGGAAAAATAGTTTTCAATGAAAAATGAGTCACCTCCTCTCAATTCCTGTGGTTCATGGGCAAAACATCATCCCATTACAAGGTATAGATCCACATTATTTATAAACCGTGCAACATTCACTTTATCCTAAAAAACATGCCATGTTTAACAATAAATGCATGCACAAAAGAAATAAATTGGATTTATTTTTGAAGTCCTGATCATATGCAAAAGGGAGATAAATCACTGGCGAAACTGTGTGAAGGATCTTTGCCCCCTAAGGGCAAACCCAAATAGGTTGTAGGAATGAGACCAACTTACACCCACAATCTATGCCAAGCTATGAATATCATGAACCTTCACACTAGCAACAATTTCAGATCTATGCATATTGTGTGAGAAATTTTGACATGGTCTTGTTCCTAATAACTATCATAGTCTCATAGTTGTCTAATCTACGAACAATACTAGATTAAAATCGTCGCAAGCTAAAATGAGATATGCCCATACATTCCATTTTCTTCTCGGTGAACCTTTTAAGGCTCTTTATCACAAGCAAGTAAAAGAGAATAGATAACGAGTACCCTAGTCTTTTCCGTTGTGCTCATAAAAAATTCACACAGGTTGCCACTTGAAAGGAATAAAACATTTCCTTCTAGAAACACAGTTTCTTGTATGGTTTCTCTAACAGTCCGAAGTCCATTTGTCCAAGCATATGGATTAAGAATTCCAATTTAGATGATCGTATACTTTCTCAATAGGTAGTTTCCACAAGACCACGAATATAGCCTCGTGTTCACCAACTCGTTACTATCAGCACAATATCAAGAATTTGTCTTCCACCAACAAAAGCATTCTTTTGAGTGTAATGAAAGATTGATTATCAATAGAGATCTACTTGCCAGCATGTTTCCAATAATTCCGTAAACACTTACCAATGAACCTGCACTATAGTATATCTTTGGTTCCATTTTCTTCAAAATGGGTACAATACAGCCATGCTAAGTTCCAATGGAAATTAAAATAAGAAATGGAAACTGTTGTCATTAACACAAGATGTATCAACTCAAAAAGTTTTTTCCACGTCAAAGCACATGCCAGAAATTTCTACCGTGTAAATAGATTACTCTCCAAATTTACCAAGAAAAAGGAAGACCAATCGACATAACAGATAAAGCAAACTGAATAAACTATGATTAAAAAGAGTTCCAGAATATCAACTCAGAAAGATAAAATAAAGAAAAAGTATGACAACCTTTTCTCCACTTAAATAGAAACGAAATCACAAGCGTACAGCAGGAACTATTACCAGAACTTGAACTCCGTAAGGCGACTAATGAAAGGCTTGAACTCATCTGAAGCTTTAGTAGGCAACATAGGTCCATCAGAAGGTTCCATTTGAGGATCAACAAGAGGCGACAGGAAACCAACCAGCAAATTGACTATGTAAAAGCCCAAACAATATGTAACAAAGTAGAATCCTTGAACAGAATAAATCCGAAGAGCATAAAGGAGTGCCAAAACAGTGGTTCCAATCCACCTATAGAATACATGGGGAGTGGTTTTATCTAAGTAATACTGGAAGCTCTCTGCAGGTTTAATGTTCAAAGCTGCAGCCGCTGATGCACCATCATCTCCAACACCCTCCATAAAAGCACAACTTGAAAATCCTTGAAATACATATAACAAAAGGGATAAGATCAACGAGGGCAAGATATCACGCTACAAGCAACTAGATATACATTTCATGGACTCATTGCCAAAGGGAGATATAAAAGAGTTTAGAGTCTCAATTTTATTGCTGCTAAGAACAAAGAGGAACTTAATTTATATTAATTAGTTACAAAAAATAGCTGAAAAGCTCATATCACTCACTGTCATGGGCACTCATAATACAAAGAATGACAGTCCGCACTCTCCAAGAAGACTACATTTCTGATTTATTTGTACTGAAATAGATAAAGAGATGCACATAGTCAATTCATTAAACCGAACAACAAGAGCTAAAAAATCAAGCAACACCTAAACTTGCCGTGTGGTTAAAGGCTCAAAACCAACAACCTAAAGCAGTAGACTTCAAACAATCTAAGCAGCCCCAATGACACATCTCTCCAATTTACATCATTGAAACAACATTGACGGGTTCTATTTGTTCATAGTAATTCTCAGGATTTTCAATCAACAATCAATTCGCATGATGAAACAAAAGTAATGATTCTCAAAGCATACATACAGAATGCTCAAAAAGGAAAAGAATCAAACCTTGATGCTTTTGAATTTGAATGTAGCTCTCGCAATTGAAGTGAAAAGTCCTTTCCCTCGTTTATTTGATGGGTTTCTGACGTGGCTCCTTGGGCTTTAGTCCTTGAACCCTTCTGTTGTGGGCCTCTATAAAGCCCATTGACTAAAAAGCCTAAGGACCCACTAATTCCCTAATAACCATTAAATAAGAGATGGGAAACTTTCATAAATACAATATCTACAAGAGTTAATTATATAAACTACAACTATGTTAGATATTACATATTGTACAACTACAAGTTTTAAATGTTATTCTATTTATACTGTACAATCAAGATTACTGCTATGAATAAAAGGCTAAAATAAGGAGATTCTTTATATTGGTGATAACATAATTAAATGCATATCAAAACAAAATAATCTTACCTAAAAAAGCTCCAACACAAATTAGCTAGCATTCTAATTAATTTTCATTGTTATTCCATCTGAAACCAATTTCAGTTTGTCCATATATAGTTTATACGTAAAGTATGATATGCGTAATATATAAATTATTTTTCCCTTTTAGCTAATACGTACAATTTCCCTATTCCAGTAGGTACCAATCGAATAATTAGACCATTTTTGCATAGAAAAAATATATTTTAAATCTAGATAGCAATAAAACTTTTTTATACAAAGCATTTCATATCAAGAAGTGTACTTCGTAAAATCATAAGTATTATGAAAAAGTTTGACTTTTTTAGATGAGTATTTACTGTAATGTATACTGTTACAGTATACAATAATTATCATTCTATTAGGATACACATTCATATTTGTACAATTTACTTATATAAATTGTATATTATTTAAATATATAAATACACAAAAATACATTATATGATATATAGTATACGGGATATATAATAATGTATATCATATATACATTATAAACATTAATTAACACATTGCAAAAATCCAGCGTAGAACAAATTTCATTGTAGTCTACCTTTACCATATACTGTATACACATACTAGAAAGAAAGAAACACCATTAACAAATATATTGTACACAATATAATATATACAAATAATGTATATTTTGTATCAACTACAAAAATAAAAGAAAAAGTATAGTACAATGTATAATCAACTCTCTTGTCCTTTCCATTGTTTTTGTTCTCAGCAACAGTTGAATGCATTTTATACCCATTTTTTCCTCGTTTGTAGTTATCAAATTCACACAAATCAAAAACCCTACAATCTATTGGAATCAAAATATGAAGAAGTTTTGGGATGATAAATGGGATTAATAATATCAGAAAATGGGAAGAAAAAAAAGTTAGTCAATTTTCATGAAGAAAAAGATTTAGTGGAAAGGGAAAACAATTTTACGCCTACAAGTGGAAGAGTATGATAGTAATGGTTTCTGAATTTGGGTATTGCAAGATCATCGAATATTGAAAAGAGGGAACATTGATAAGTTTGAAATAGGTTGAATAGAAAACTAATTTAATTTTCCTATTTTAACGCCCTAACTTGAGGAAAGAGATATTCTTTAAGTGAGAGAGAATCTCAATGAATAGATTTTAGGATATGAAAAGGTGTACATAATTTAATTAAAAAGATAAGATTTTAAAATAAGTTGTATTAAAAGTAATTTTGTAAAATTAGTTGTAGGGAATATAAATAAGTCTTTTAAAGGGTTGTATTCTATGTAAAATAAGTCTTTTTTCTGTGAACATTTGGAGAGAAGAAAAGTTTGAAAACTCTATTATTATTATTATTATAGTTTGAAGATTGGCTGTTTGAAATTTAAAATCCGAAAATATTATTAAATCAAATAGGTGTTGCTGCAATACCTTGAAAAAATCCTTCAGAAGCTAAATCTGAAATTGGAAATTATTTGGAGAAGAATTGGTATGGTTTTTTGGCTGAATATTGGTAGTATATGTGTATAGCTTCAAACTTATTTTTCTTTTCGCTTCTTCTCTCTTTGTTTTAGATTAGAATGGTATTTTATGTTGTTAAAATGAAATTATTGGTAGTTATGGTGCTCTTGTGGTGGTGATGCGGCGGATAATGTGTGAAAAATGGAGAAAATGGTTGTTTGAGGTGGTATATCTGTGTATATTGCCATGTGTATATATATATATATNATTGTATGTGATATGCAGTAATATACACTATATATAATGTGATATACATTATTAAAAAATGTGCCGGAAATATAACTTTCCGACAATCTACCATTTTTTTCCGGTGAGAAAGGACTACCTAAAATTTTTTATAGGTTATTGAGGGGTTATTGGAGAAGAGATCGAGGGTGGGGTTAAGAAAAATGTGAAGAAAGTTAGAGAGACAAAGTTATAAGAGTTATATGTTACCAATTTTTTTTGGGCTATACGAGCCTATGCCAATTACTGGCTAAATAAATGTCATTTTGCTCTTTAGAGTTTTATATAGGTATCAATATCCCATCAAACAAACAGGGGAAGTGCATAAATAGTTGTTTGACTGAGTAAAATTTCACCTGCTAGCCAGTTTGACTATGTTATTTAAGCTACTAGTTTTAGGGTACGCGCGTTGCGCGTTTATCTTTACTATGAATGTAGACTTTTTTGAAACTACATAAATATTATCAAAGAATATACTTGAGTTAGAAAATTATAAAGAAAAAATTAAGTCCTGAAAATGATGAATTCTGATATTATTAAACTAACTCAGTCAACCTCATAACAGTGCTCATGATGTTATCCAACAACCCGCATCCGCATAAGAGATATAAGTACCAATAGAATACTATGGTATCACATTTTCTTCCGTAACAAATAACCAAATATTTATTATATATTTTATCATGAATTTTCAGAGAGTCATAAATAACACAAATTAAAAAAAATGCATCTTTCTTTTAAAAATTCAGAAAAAAAGTGGTTGGTCATATAGTTTTTAGAAAAAAAAGGATAATTAAGTGACAATATAAAGTCTGGAAATGACTAATGTTGAGGGAATATTTTATAATAAATTACTAATGTATAAAAAATTACAGATGGCTATTTGTTGGAATTGATGAAAAAAGAAAATTATATATTTAATATCAACTAATTTTGAATCCATTTTGTCTTCTATAGTTTTATTCTTGTTTCTTCTAATTTAAAATTTTAACCAAGTCAACTTTACTAATATACTGAAATCAATTTTGATCAATTTGTTTATTTCTTTCATCACTGGTGGTCTATTTATGGAAACACATTTATGTAGCCGACAAAAATTCATGTCAGCTTGAATGTTTTTTACTTTATGATGAATTTGAAAAAGAATTGAATTAGATTTTATTGCTAATTAATTACTTCAAGTATTTTATTTTTTCTCAAAATAACATAAGTTATTTTTGTTGGTTCAAATTCGTCATAGTAGCTCATAATAAATTTAAATGTTTGATAATTATTATATTTTAATTCAATAAGAATTTTTCATCAAGAATCACTATATGAGAGGAATAAAATTTAAAAATCGAGTTCGCTATAGAAATCGCAATTACTTTCTATAGTTAAAAATCCATTTATATTCATCTAAATGTATCATTAATTAAAAACTAAAATATCTCTTAAATTATCTTGTTGGAATAATTGATAAAATATGTGTTTATTAATGATTTTCTCAACATTCCAATTAATTGTACTTCATTTATAAATTTTGAAAGTTAATAATATAATATAAAATTTTATTTTTAGTAAATAGTCATGTGTATTTTAAAATATTTTAATGTAAAAAGAATTGCATATAAATAAAAACGTAAGAAAGTTATTAAAATGTGGACCGCTATTATCTAAGAACCAGTATGTCCTCTCTTTAAACTTTTTATTCTTTCCATTATGTATTTTGTTTATCATTTATATATAATTTAAGTGTAAGATTTACATAATGCAAACTCTAAATAGTAGAACTTTCTGCAGAGTTCAAAAAAGATTTTTTTAAAATTTTAATTAAATTTCAAACTCCTAAATATTAGGAAAAATAATTAAATAAATATTCAATGAAATATTTTTATAGTAATTAACACATATTTAAGGGATTACAAATTTTGTTTTTATTTATAAATATCAAAGTTTAGATGAGATAAATAGTCTTTAGTTTTAAGTTCTAAAAGGTAAGCATTTATTCATTGATAGTAGTATTTTATTGGTACCGTTGAATTAATGTAATAGATAGTGTATCTCTTGTTAATGAAAGGTAGGGGAGAAAAATGCAGTAAACGTATGTTGTTGATTTTTTTCTTTCTTTTTAATGATTCATATAAGGTAAAAGTTTAATTATTAAGTCATAAATATTAGGATTCTTACATAGTTTAAATAAGGAAGCATTTAATACACAAAATATAATTAATTTTCAAGTCCTAAATATTTGTAAAATAATTTAAATGACTATTTTGTCCAGTATTAAATTAATTTTAACGGATAAAAAGGCGAACGATATTTCGCTAAAGGCATTTGTGCTTTTAATATAATATAAATATTTAGATTTTCCAGCATATTTAATTTGTAGCCAATTTTAGCAAACTTGAGACAAACCTCCTTTGTTTCTTCTCCTCCTCCCCCTTCTTAGTTGTTGTACAATTCCTTGCTTCACACTATGAGTTAGTGCTTGTAGATTGTAGTGGAGAAATCGAATCCACCATTATTGAACCTAAAGAGAGTTTGAAAACCCATAAATAGGTGTTGTTGATTTGTGAAGCAAAGTAATTGGTAAATGACAACTCTTACTCGATGTCATAAGTGGATTACCTAAATTTTGTGTGTTTGTATGGAGGGAGGGAGCATGTGATTATGAATGAAGAGGCAAGGAGATTGGTGATCTTGTGACAACCTTGGGCCTTGGCTCCTCCTACTTTATCGTTTGTCCTCTCTTCCCATCGAGGGGCGCCCCGACGAATTTTGTGGTCTAAAGTCAAATTTTATGAGGGACCTTAATTGTTTTTTAACTTTATTTTTTTTTTAATTTGAAGTCCATTTTTTTTAGTTTTTTAGATTCAAAGTTATTAATAATATTTTTATAATTATTTTTTTCTAATAATTCTTTCTCAATTGACAATATAGTTAATTTATTTAACCTCTCTTCATACATTATTGAGCTTAGCTAAGATTTTATCAGTTTTAATTTCGAAAAACCTCTTTGTGCTGAAGTAATGGTAACATGAGTTATTAACATTATTCTATAAGCAATATAAGCAATTGGAAAGAATCAAATCTTTTTATTTAATTGAGTGTATCAATTAAATTGTTATCTTCTAGTTGTACTATTTTTCTTAACACTTTTAATTCGAAAAATAAATCTAAACCATCCATATCGAATTGATTATTATGATTTAAGGAACACTCAAGATTAAGGGAGTATTTTTCCAAATTTCCATCATCTAGTAATCTCAATTCTTTACGCTAAATAGAAAACAAACAATATTTTCATATGCTTCAAATTGTTCAAATCTATTTTGAAGTGAAAAAATAGTCTTATCTACTATGTATAAATAGTAATTAACTCTTAAGGACTCTTCAAGAGATTTCAATATCAATATTCTCGTCAAATTATTTATTTTTATATATCACACGTTACTTACAAAGTTCGGATTTAATTTTCATTTCAGATGCAATTTTCTTGGCAGAAATCATATCTGTTGTAAATCTTTTTACCTCTTAAGCTTTTAAGACGATAAATTTTAAAAGTCTTTTTTTCTTAAACTTTGTGACGAGTCAAATAAATTCATCTAAATTGAAACATAGAAATTATATAATATAATAGGTATAATAAAAAATGCCCCCCACAAATGTGGGGCCTAAAGCAGCTGCTTTACCTACTTTAGGGTAGGGCCGCCCCTGCCCATCACGCAGAGCGGTTTGTTCCCTAAATTCAAGAACATTAGACATAAATGTAAGAATATCGAAAGTTTGGCCAAGCAAAAATGTCGAAAGTTTTGGCCTTGCCAAGGCCAACTTCATATGTGGTTAAATTTATAAATTCTTATGCACTGTGGCTAATGATTAAATATTAATTCCAAAACTGGCTGTTTCTGCAGTCCCCTCCCCCTACCCCTAACCCTGAAGGGCTGCTATTTAAGATATAATCAAATTTAGAAAATACCCTTAGTTTTAACGGCAATGTGAGTATAGTCGGGTTATGTTGACATTAGCTAGTTACAATATTGTGTTTTATTACTTTTTTATTTATTATAGTATCGGGTCTATATATTGTCTATTGTGTTTGCTTTGCATCTACTTTCTTATTTTCATTATTGTATTTTTCTTATGGTTTCTATTGGTGATACTGATATTATCTTTTTTCGTTTTCTTGAGCCGAGTGTCTTTCGAAAATAGTCTCTCTACTCCCTCGGGATAGGAGCAAGGTTTGCGTACACACTACCCTCCCCCAAACCTCATTAGTGAGATTTTACTGAGTCGTCGTCGCCGTTGTTATTGTTGTTAGTTTAACGACAATATTTACTTATTTAAGCAGTTTTTAGACAGGTTCCAGGCATAAAGACAGCTGGCGAATCTAATTTTCATTTTACTGTATGTTTCTAATGCAGGTCTTTCTACATTTTCTAATTTCATATTTATGCCTTATACTTTATTGAGTCAGCGTAATCTATATGCTAACAACACAAAATGATACTACTCGATTTGAAGTACAAAAAATATGCACATGCTACAAACACAAATGATACCTCACAATTGTAGACCTCGGTGGGAAAATTTTCTTTTATATCTTCCTGGCCAAGTTTATTGTCTTTAATTTTGTTCCTGAGAATATTCAGAATTTTTTAAAGAGATATATATCAAATGCAAATTAATGTTTCTCTTTGGAAATAATGTAGAATTATACAATTCAATATAAACAAGTACTCGAGAAAATACAACATAATTAAGATTTTAGACTATTAATAATACTTATCTAATAATTAATGCACTAAAGGTTATCTCCAGCTAACTAGTAGTAGGTAGCCACTATGTAATGTAATTGGGTTTCAATAAAATTCAGTTTTCGGATATGGATTTTCGATTTGTTTGTTCGAGACGTTCATATATAAGCTTTTTCTCTATTGTTTCGGTTTATTTGTATCATTTTATAACATTTAGTTACATGTTTGTTATACTTATCAAATTCAGATTCGGCGTTTTGAGTTTATCTTCTCTTTCTCGAAAAAACTTTTTCTCGAGCGTACTGTCTACTCTAATTAGTTTTTTTCGACGATTTAGGTTGATATTTAGTTTTTTAGTTGATTCATTCTTCTGGTGTTGATGTAATGTAAAAGCACCTTATGTTTTGACTTACCTCGGAAGTGTTGTCGCTTGATTTTATGTTAACTTTTATTTTAATTAATTGATTAACTGTAGATGTTTACTAAACGCTAAGGTTGTAAGACCATTTGTCTATTTCCTAATGTTCATGCAATAAGGACCTAATGATTTAGAAGCAAAAATTTCAAACGTTGAACCGAACTATAAAATTTGAGAATCATGATCCCTTGAGTTTGTATCGGTTCGGTTTATTTGTATCATTTTATAATATCTAATTACATGTTTGTGACACTTATCAACGTCCTTTTTTGAGATTTGTAAAGATAAAAATAAGCATTTCTCTATCTACCAAAACTTAATTTACGTTTTATGTTGAAGAACTAATGATCGTACGTTATGGACTTATGGTATTGTTAATTAGCTAAAATTTAGAACAAAAAAACTGAATTGAACTATAAAATTCGAAAATCATGATTCATTGAGTCCGTATCATTTTTGTTTATTAGAATCATTTTAGAACATCTAATTACATGTAGAGTATTGTTAATTAACTAAGTTTAGAACCAAAAACTTCAGACAACTAAACTTGCAAAAATTTGAAAATCACGATTCATTGAGTTCGTTTGAATGTAAGCATGCATTTATATTCCTGATGTTCATTCAATGAAATGTTTTTATTTTAATTTTTTGTTTTACCTATGTGAGCTTAGTATAGCTAGTTCACAGCGTCAAAATAGCGAAATTTTAATGAATTGTTATATTGATGAATTGTTAGTATAGCCAGACACACTCAGCATATCCGATCGACATGGATGAAATGTGCCTTAATAGAATAGAGTAGATAGAGCATTCAGTCAGCTCTAATTGATACTTGATGTTATTTTAGTTTTCAGTTTAATTTGATTGATTAACTATACAACTGTGCCTTCGTTTAGTAAATTTTGATGAATTGTTAGTATATATAGCCGTCGGGGACGGCTCAATAGAATCGATGACCAGCTAAAATCTAATAGGATACCATAAGCTTTTTATAATTAATAAGTTCATGTATATTTTTATTTAAAGTTCACTTTTTTAAGTTTTTGAGATGCAAAGATATAAATTAATCTTGTTAAGAATTAATTCCTTCAAAAAATCTTTTAATGAGAAATATAGACATTTGATTTGGAAAATCGAGTTATAATTGGAAAATAAAGTCGTCAAGAAAATAAAATGAATGTATGCGAAGAAGGAAAAATCACAACCAGTATATTTACAAATTAACGAGAGATAGAAACTTTAATTTACTCACTCAATTTGATCAGCCTCAACCAAATCTTGAAAAAATGTGAAACCTTTGTTTATGTTCATTATAAAAATTATATATTATCTATATTATTATATAAAGCACGAAACTCCAATAAAATGTTGATCGATTTTATATTCTCCATAATTGTATTATATGTTGAATAGAACTAGAATTGCAATTTATAATTATTAACTTAATTATTTGACCTTTTTATTTAATGCATAAAAATTTACTACAAGAAAATAATCATCTTTGTTAAAAAGTGACCATTGATTTTTATTTTATTTTTATTTCCTTGTATGATTATAGTATTAGGAATGTAGTAAAATTTCTTTTCAAGTTTTAAGTAATTACTTCAAATTTTTAAGTTTTAACTTTGACTAATATTTTAGAACTTTAAATTAAACTACTCAAATCTTTATATCTACCAATAAGGGTTTTTAACAATAAGATTCAAGGTAGCGTATTAAAACAAATGGCTAACTTGGATAAAACAAATGGCTCAGTTAAGTACATCATTTTATATTAGATTATCAATATTTTGGGGGCCTCAACTCTTGGGGTCCTAAAGCAAAAGTTTCACTAAGCTTGTATGATTGTTTATCTACTTCTTAATGCTCATGAAATGAATTCTCTTTTTTGTTTGTATTAAGTTAATTCACTTATGTTTGCAATAAAATTTCTTTCTGTTTGTGTTAATGCTCATATGAGCTTGGTATCCCGTGGTAACGAGCATTGTGCTAAATGAATATCTGTAAAGATAAATATTCAAAGAGCCCTTAGGTCAACCTCCTTTTAACTATGAAATAGTAGAATAAATGAGTCAACTAATTTCATCATATGTAAATGATGCCCGCATTTACGTGACCCTCTTTTTTATTGCTATGTTCTTCGGTTTTGAGGGGAGCATTGTTGGTGCCAACGTCCCCAAAATCTTTATGTCTATTAGTTACATGCTTTCTCGGTAACATTGTATCACTTTTACGCCCCAATGCCAGAGGATCCAGATGCGTGGAAGAGTATGGCGGTGTATTGGATACGTTTTATCCTTGAGGCATGCCTTGCTGGGATATTAGTTTTTTGGACAGCATTTTCCTAATTTTTGTAATGCATTAGCTGCTTCTCCTGTTTTTCCATGGGGAGTTCTCAGAAGATATATTTAGGCAGCATTCTTTGTTGCATTTTACTATTAGTGG